TGGTTCACCCTCCAATGGCCGCCGTGGCTGGCGCGCTGCAACCGGTGCACTGCGCTGATCCAAAGGCAGGAGCCAGGTGCTTCTCCTGGTCTCCCATGGGGTGCAGGGCCCAAGCACTTGGGCCATCCTCCACTGCCCTCCCAGGCCACAGCAGAGAGCTGGCCTGGAAGAGGGGCAGCCAGGACAGAATCCGGCGCCCCGACCGGGACTAGAACCTGGTGTGCTGGTGCCGCAGGCAGAGGATTAGCCTAGTGAGTCATGGCACCGGCCCAAGGGTATTGCTTTTAAATACATTTTGTTTGTTTTCCTGAATGTAATACTCATATGCTCATTCAAAAGTAAATCAGGAGGGGCCGGCTTTGTGCCCTGTGTTAAGCCACCACTTGCAGTACTAGCATCCCGTGTCAGCGTGCGGGGTCAAATCCTGGCTGCTGTGCTGCCAGTCGGCTTCCTGCTAGCTTGCCTGGGGAGGCAGTAGATGATAGCTCAAGTACTTGGACCCGGCCACCTGTGTGTGAGACCCAGGTGGAGTGTCTGGCTCCTGGCTTTGGCTGGCCCTGCCTAGGCTGTTGTGGCCATTTGGGGAATGAACCAGCCACAGGAGATCGATCTCTCTGTCTCTCTCTCTCTGGAATTCTCTTTTGAGTAAATAAACAATCTTTTTTTAAAAAAAGAAATCTTTAAAAAAAAAGATAAATCAAGAATTTCAGAAAAAAAATTTTTTAGAAAAAGACCACTCCCTATCCTGTGATGAAGTAATTTCTGTGAACCTTCGTGTAAGCACATGCATATATTAATACAAATGGGAGTATGCATACATACATATATATCACAAATATGTATCACAAATGTGATATACATGTACACACTTACATTCACAGACACAAATGAGGCCAAGTCATGAAAAATGTTTTCTTACTACCTCTTTACTTGAGAGTAGTATATCATGGACATCTTTCCACGCAAACAAATGTATTATTTTTAATGGCTGTATAAATTTCATTATCTGAATAATGTATAATTTATTTAACCAGACTCATTTGTAGACATCTGGATTGTTTTTAATTTTTAGTTATCTTTTTTTTTAAAAAAGATTTATTTATTTGAGAGGCAGACTTAGAGAGGGAGAGACAGAGAGAAAGTTCTTCCATTCACTGGCTCACCCCCAAAATGGCCGTGATGGCTGGAGCTGGGCTGATCTGAAGCCAGGAGCTTCTTCTAGGTCTCCCGAGTGAGTGCAGGGGCCCAAACACTTGGGCCATCTTCTCCTGCTTTCCCAGGAATGTTAGCATGGAGCTGAATTGGACGCATACTGGTGCCTATATGGGCTGCCAGCACCAATTTTTAATTATCTTAAAACCAATATCCCAGGGAACTGCTGTGTACCCATATTTTTCAGGGTTGTCTCATTATTCCTTAGGTTAAATTCTTAAATGAAAATTTAGTGTGTCAAAGAATATAGTCATATTACATTTTGATACTTGTAGCAGATTTTTTTTTTTTTTTTTTTTTTGGACAGGCAGAGTGGACAGTGAGAGAGAGACAGAGAGAAAGGTCTTCCTTTGCCGTTGGTTCACCCTCCAATGGCCGCCGTGGCTGGCGCGCTGCGACCGGTGCACTGTGCTGATCCAAAGGCAGGAGCCAGGTGCTTCTCCTGGTCTCCCATGGGATGCAGGGCCCAAGCACTTGGGCCATCCTCCACTGCACTCCCTGGCCACAGCAGAGAGCTGGCCTGGAAGAGGGACAGACTCCGGCGCCCCAACCGGGACTAGAACCCGGTGTGCCAGCGCCGCAAGGCGGAGGATTAGCCTAGTGAGCCGCGGCGCCGGCCTGCAGATTGTTCTTCAGAAAGGTTTTACCAAGTTATACCATTCTTGGGGTTGTCTACCACCTACTGTCCTAATTGGTAGTGGATAATTGTTTTCATAGTCCAAATTTTAAATGAGAACTTCCTCCTAGCACATAATCTTTTTATCCTTAACTAAGGAGTTTTGTGTCGTTTGTTTTAGATTATACTTCAATGTAAAAGTCACACAAATTTATAGGAAAGACAGAGTGCTAGTTTTACAGGTAGCAGTCATTCTGTTTTCAGAATGATTATTGATTAAAATGTAAAATGGTCTTCACCAGAAGGAGGGAGGGACGTTATGGGGGGGGAAGCCATTGTAATCTATAAGCTGTACTTTGGAAATTTATATTCATTAAATAAAAGTTAAAAAAAGAAAGAAACAAACAAACAAAAAATGTAAAATGGTCTTCAATTCTCTCCATATTCTTCTGACATTTGAAATGCCAAAACTGTATAGTCAGCATGTAGCAGCTGACAGTATAGCAACAAGGACTGAATGAACAGGACATTTATTTTAAAGATTTTCTACTGGCTCTTCTATGGTAGTTTCCTGTGGGAGTAATTATTTAATCTGTGGGATAAAGTCAAAGGAAGTGTAAAATTACGCAGCAAAGTTGTTGGTAAATTTACATCTGGCCAGGAAGAAATGCTGCCTATTGTAAAGGGAATTTGAATCTGTACATTCTAGAAAAGAAAACCTTTGTGTAATACTACAGTCTTTTAGGGGGGAATTTGGAACAGTCTTCTAACCATGTAAAAATTTAGTGTATGTGAAAGAATCACATTGAATCAAGTCCAACTAAGAAAGCTGTCTGTATACCTTTATGACTAAGGAAGCTCTTTAATTTCAAAATAGTTAATTTTCTTGTTGATGAATTTTTATTTTATATGTCTTTTACTTAACTAGTTATTGAATCGGACTATAACTATTACTTTAAAAAGTCCAGACTGGATCAAAAATTTGGAAGAAGAAATGAGTCTAGAGAAAATTAGCATTGCTTTGCCAACATCAACAAGTTCTACCCTGCTTGGTGAAGATGCAGAGGTCACAACAGATTTCGACATGGAAGGTTTGTTTAGTAAACACATGTACTTCTGTAATAACTGCCCATCAGTGAAGTCTGAGTATCCATGTTTATCTTTCTCCTTCTTTTTGAGACACACATAGCAGTATTAATTAGAATTTGGTTTTGCATCATATTGTTTTTATTTTGCTTTCACTTAATTATAATTTTAATTGTGTCACTCAAATATTAAAAGACCTTCATACATGTTACGTTTGGTCCCAATAGTTACGATTAAGGTTAGAAAAAAAAGTTCCAAGTGGATGTTCTCACAGCAGAAATGAATTTGAAATAATTTCTATAAAAAAACATATGTTTTATGATAATTTATGGATATTCAGAGTGGCTAGGAATGTACATTTGAAACTGAATCCATCCATGTAAGTGTTACCATTTGAAGTTTAGAATTTGGGACAAGTCATCCACATACAATAATTTCTTTAAACATTATTTAAAATGTACTTGCTTTCTGATGCTATATGCTATTTTATTCTAGCATATTTTTCCTTAAAATGCACACCTAAGTTTATAGAGTGGTCATGTATTATATTGTGCTACCCTGTACAGCTGTGTATCACATTTAAGAGTTGGACATCTAGCAAGAATGTCTCATTTCACACCCTATGTTCATTATTTATCTAGGTCACATGTATTTATATAGCACCCTTTAATGTCCCAGGTGTGTGTTAGGTGCAGGAAATTCAAGAGCTGTGATCCTTGCCCTCCCAGAACACACAGCTTAGTGAATGCTATACACAAGTAAGCAGACACTTAGAATTAAGTGTCACTGTTGCAATAATGAATGGGACTGTGGTGCTTCAGGAGAAAGTTGCTTAACCTGACTTTGGAAAGGTAGCTAGGTTTTCCCCAGAGGAATTGAAAGTCACATTGAGAATCCGAAGACTGAGGGAGAAGTGAATTAAAGACTCAAGGAGAAGTCGTATGCACAAGCCCCTGGGGGAGAGAGAAGATCAAAATTGATTGTGCAAGTGTGTTTGTGAGGGAGTGAAGGAAGGAAAAAAAGGCCAGGGGAGGAGCAGGTGTGGGATGGAACATGTTGGGTTTGAGATGTTGGTGAAGTCATTGAGTCCAGAAGTCATGTTGGAGATAGGGGTCTGCCGCTCAGAAGAGTGCTCTGGACCTCCCAGGCAACTCTAATATGGCAGTGAGTCCTGGGCGTCCATTACTTTGGCTGGTAAGATCGTACAGACAGGAGAGAACAAATCCAATATGGAGGAACACAGAGGCCTGGGACTGGATATGGAGCATCAGTTTAATGACAGGCAGAAGACTGCTGCCCCATCAAAGCAAAGTGACAAGGAATCAGAAATGTAAAAAAGCTAGGAAAATCTGCTGGCTTATAATTAAGGAACAAAAGCATAGCAAGGAAGGAGTGGTCAGTGGTGTCTGTACCACAGAGAGATGAGGAGAAAAGACAGGGCTTGTCCTGATTTAATAACAGGGAGGGAAGCTGTTAGTGTCAGCCGTGAGAGGACTTTGATTAGAATGATAAAGCCGGGTGAGTAATCTGATATGAATGGATGGTGAAGCAGAGGGAATGTCCACAAGTTTGAAGGAAGCTTGACTGAGATGGGAGAGATAGAAAGGGCAGTTGTCCAGCGAGATTGGAGACCGCTGCTGGCTGTTTTTAAGTGGAGCTTCAGAATACTTAGTATTGAAGGGAAAGCCTGATGGTGGGGGGACAGCAGGACGGGATAGTAGAGTGAGGTCACTGGGAAAGCTGGGGAGGGTGGACCCCGTTCGTTGCATCCACAGAGACCCGAGTGCCAGCTCTGTGATCAGACTCCAGCATGGGAGAAGGGAGGGTGGTCTTTTCCCAGGTGAAGTGCTGGAGTGGTCTTTAGGCGTGCGGTGTTCAGTTTCAGGAGAGGTGAGAAGCTTCACGATAAAGCTCCTGAGGAGCCGGAGTGAGGAGAGCCAACCAGGAGATCATGGACTTGTCAGGCATCTTGGGGAGCCCAGAAGAGACTGGAAACCACAGAAGTGAGCTGGCTGCGGTCATCAGGACTGTAGTTTCCTCAGCAGCCGCAGTGAGCAGGCTCGGTGTGATGATGATAAAACACAACAAAAAGAACCCATGGGATCAATGCAGGATTGGAGTGTTGTCAAGCAAGTGCTATGGAAGGATAGCGAAACTGAGGAGATGTTGAGATGAAGAACTGCAGAATCGGAAGTGAGGTTCCAAGAAAAGTCAGGGGTTGGCAGATTGCCTCCGAGACGCTTCCTGTCCGTAACATAAAGTCAGCCATGATCCTGCAGAAGCTCTTCAGGTTCTCCTCTGTCGTCCGCTCAGCAGTTGCAGTCCATCTGCGGAGGAACATTGGTGTAACAGCAGTGGCATTTAATAAGGAGCTTGATCCTGTACAGAAACTCTTCGTGGACAAGATTAGAGAATACAAATCTAAGCGACAGGCATCAGGAGGACCTGTTGATGCAGGCCCATCATACCAGCAAGATCTGGAGAAAGAGCTTTTTAAGCTGAAGCAAATGTTTGGTAAAGCAGATATGAATACGTTCCCTACCTTCAAATTTGAAGATCCCAAATTTGAAACCATTGAAAAACCCCAGTCCTGAAGAAATAATGGAAAATTAATCTGGTAATTTGTCATGGATTACTTGTACAGTTAATCAAAAGTATCACAATAAACACATTTCACAATTAAAAAAAAAAAAGAAAAGTCAGGGGTTAAATGAGCGTGAGCAAACCTTGTGTCCTGATGAAGTCAAAAAAAGAAAGAGTAAGTGAGAGAGAACCTGGGAAGCTGGGAGGTGGTGGTCAGACTGAAGTGTTTGATTGAACATTTCAGAAGGTACGCAGTTCTCAAGGGTGTGTGTTGGAAGTGGAGGTGAGTTCAAGGACAGGACCGGGCTATTTAGATTGTTGAATGTGTTATCCACATGGACTTGGATGTCACACAGAAAGATGGTGGGGCCCCACTCACGACTTTGCTCTCTGGTCCTTGATGAGTGAATTCAAGAGACTGAAGGATGGAGGTTGGAGATTTCTCCAGCCAAGTTGGGGGTAGAGAGTGTTACAGAAATTCCTGATGGCATAGCCCGAAAAAAAACAGGACTTTTGTTTGTTCAGGATTGTGAGATTGATGTTCTGGACTTGGAATAAGGTTGCAAGGAGACACTGACCCAGGTGATTCATCCTTGAAGGCTGGTGGAGATGAAGGTGCCTCAGGGTAGAACTGGTCTTCAGTTCAACTTGAGAGCGTCTGTGGTGACTGGGGAGAGCATGATGGGTGGGTTGAGTCGGCCAGCACTGCCAGCCTTGCAGTGAGAGAGAGAACGCGGTGAGAGCCGAGCTCCAAGTGGTTAGTCACCCTGGCAGCTCCTCGCTCCGAGATGCAGCTATCTTCATACAGATTTTTATGTAAGAGCAGTTGTAGGAATTCTAGTTTGATCTGTACAAATTTTTATACATACTTGCATGTTTAATCAGTGTATGTTTGCAATGTCATAATGTTAGCATTATGTTTTTGATGTGTATTTTAACTCTTTACAGCTTAAGGTGAAAAAGAAATCCCTGAGTAATTAAAACAGTGGTATCCTTGCTCTTCCTCAGGTGATGTTGATGACTACAGTGCAGAAGTAGAGGAGCTGCTTCCTCAGCATCTCCAGCCCTCCTCAAGTTCTGGCCTCGGCACTTCCCCGAGCTCTTCACCCCGGACCAGCCCTTGCCAGTCACCTACAATGTCGGAGAGTCCCCTCCCCTCCCTTCCCATCAGACCAAGCCGAGCACCATCAAGAACTCCTGGGCCTCCAAGTTCACAGGGTATAGTTAATTTAGAAGTTTCTTATGACTTTGTCTAGCCAATGTGTTGATTTTTGGAAAGCCATTGTTGTACCCATATGCTAAAATGTACCTTGTTTTTCTGCATAAAAAAGGAGGAAATTTGGAAATGATAAGCCCTCCATGGAAAAGAAATTAGCACTAGATGAAAATTTTTCTTGATCTTTTTCTCCTATATGGTTAGGGTTATCCCTGTCTTATAACTTGATGACTTTCTGTTGATATGGTAAGAATCCACAACTGTTTGTGTCTATCTTTTTGTTCTTTCTACTGACCAGCAAGCTGTAAAAGACGTATTTAATATTTTGTGCTGCCTTGATAGGGCCACTAAGTAAATGAGCTTTCAGTACCTGGGGACTAGGTAAGAAGTCACCCTAGAGGTAACATTATTGCTGCCATTGTACAGAGGACAGATTGCTTTTGTTATTCAGACTGAAAATGTGTGCTATTTCCTTATACTGTAGTACAAATTTTTTTTTTTTTAAAGATTCATTTTATTTATTTGAAAGAGTTTTAGAGAGAGGTAGAGAGAGAGAGGTCTTCCATCCGCTATTCACTCCCCAGATGGCTGCAGTGGCCGGAGCTGCGCCGATCCGAAGCCAGGAGCCAGGAGCTTCTTCCGGGTCTCCCACATGGGTGTAGGGCCCAAGGACTTGGGCCATCTTCCATTGCTTTCCCAGGCCATAACAGAGAGCTGGATCAGAAGAGGAGCAGCCAGGACTAGAACCCGGTGCCCATAGGGAATGCCAGCATTTCAGGTCAGGGCTTTAAACCACTATGCCACAGGCCCCTGTAGTACAAATTTTAAAAATGAGCAAAATAGGACGTTTCATTATATATAAATAAGGCTGCTTCAAAAAGTTCCTGGAAATATGGAATGAAGATAAGTTTATTTTGGTACAAAAATTTGAAATCCATGCATAGTTTCTTCATAACATTCTTTCTCCATGGACTTTTTGAAGATCTCTAATACATACATTAAATATGTATTAAGTGTGTTCCTTTCTGCTGACACCCATCCGGGACCTGGGCTTACCTACTGCACTTGCTGCAGGTTCTCCTGGGGACACTCAGCCAGCGCCACAGCAGCAGCAGAAAGAGGCTTCCCAGGCCTTGGAGCCCAAGAGGCCCCCGCCTCCCCGCCCAGTTGCTCCTCCACAAAGACCAGCGCCCCCACAGAGACCACCTCCGCCTTCAGGTAACAAACCGGTTTATTTTTGTTTTTACTACAATTAAAATTGTTTCCAGTGTATGTTCAAATGTTTTCAAGTCTGTAGATTCTAGATTTTATTGTTTTCCTGTTTTTGGTGTTCTTTAGCTTTTCTTTAAAAATCATGGTAGGGATAACAGACTAGTTAAAAATGTTTCTTGAGTAGACTTCTCTGACATGTTTTCATAGCTACCTTCTTACCAGGGTACAAGAGGTGTTTAGTTTGTTTTGCCAGTTTGATGCAGTTAGGTGTGTACACTGTTGTTAGGTAAATCTAGGTTTAAGTTTTTTCTTCAGAATCCTCATTTTTTGTTTTTTATATGTCTAAAATCATTGATTTCTATAAAATTTATGACTAGAACAGAAGAGCATACATGTTCATACAAATTTTTATGTATTAGTTTGTTACTTTAAAAATAGTATTGTCATTTCAGTTCTAGTATATGTTGAATAATGGCTTTTTTTATAGTACTAGATAATAATACATAATTCCTACATAATACTTGACATCATGAATGCTGCAGTAAATCCTTGACATGTCAATTCTTTATTTAATGTCATTTCCTTTCTGCTGCATATTTCTCATGAACTATAAGGGGCTAGGAGTCCTGCACCTGCTAGAAAAGAATTTGGAGGTAACCATTTACATTTATTATCCTATATGAATCTTGGTTCCTTAATGTTTTGGAGTCAGATCCCTGAAAATGAAAGACATGTTGGGTTTGTTTGACAAAAGTCAAATGAATGACATTTATAGTCCAAATTTGAACTAGCTCCAAACTTCTATTATATTCCTGTTAAGTAAAATATTAGAGGTTAGGTTTTATTTGTGAGTAGAATTAATAAAAGATTCCATTTCCCAGGTAGACACAGTTGAACTTCTCTTCAAGGTCTGATTTCCTTGTTTTGATAAATAAATTTGTTACAAAGATTTAATTCCAAAAGCCATAATAATTTCAGAAGTGATTCAAGTGCAGTCAGTAAAGACCATTTCCCAAGTGTTTGACTACTGTTTCCCTGGAACTTCTTTTTTTAGTGGAAAAGCTTGTGGAATGCATTTTAAAATTGTAATGGTTACCTGATATATAGCTTTCATTTTGCACTTGTTATAAGTTGTCATGAATTTCAGCCCTCATTTGTTTACATAAGAACTATATGATTTTCCTTTACTTTTTTCAATAAGAAGATTTTTATCCAGAATTGTATCACTTTTTGTTTAAAGTATATTTGGTTTATACGAAAACGCACAGAGCTCAGTTGGAGATACACATTTGACAAGTTTATTTAGTCTAGTTCTCAAGAAAGAATGAGGCAAGCTGTCACAGTTTCTCAGAAGAGCTTTTGCAAATCCACTTTGTTTTTTTTAAAAGATTGACTTATTTTAAAGATAGACAGGGGCCATGGGAGAGAGGAGATACAGTGACAGGGGAAGAAAGAGAAAATAAGGTGTTCCATCTGCTCTCCAAATGACTCCAGCAGCGGGGATTGGGCCGTGCTGAAGCCAGGAGCAAGGAGTCCAGGCAGGTCTCCGGCGTGAGTGGCAGGGGCCCAAGCCGTCAGGCCAGCTTCTTCCCACGCACACCAGTAGGGATGTGGATGCAAGTCTACCTTGAGTCTTGGAGTCCCACTGTACACGTGCAGTTAGTCTGTTTCTACTCTGTCTATGTAATGGCACTGCTGACCAGCTCAGGTGTTACTACAAACTAGCTTTGTGTGCAGCTTTTAATGATTTCATACAATAAGAATCATTAACTTAGCATTACAGCTTCTGTATATACTGCTAGGTGATCATTTTTCCATTGATCTACAGAAGATCTTAACTTTTCCCATTTCAAGCTCCTGCTTTTGTTTGTGTTTTTATAGTAAGTTCTGTCATCTGCTTTGATTAGGAAAATAATCTGTAGAAAGTAAACTTTATAATTATTTGTGAAAGTTACATTAGCAACCCAATGGCTTACTTAGAAATCTGTTTTAACAAATCAGATTGCTTCTTTTCAGAATGTTTTTGTAGGCTGTGTCTGTGACATTTTATTTTTCCTGTTACCTATAATTAAGGCAGTAAGCCTAGAAGTTGTTATTGTACTCTAGAGTTTTTGAAAATAACACGTTAGAAACTAACTTCTCAGAGTCCTGTGTAGTCACAGAAATTTAAGATGAAATCAAGACTTCATTTATGACTTATTTTCCTTTTTGACTGTCAAATGTTGGCATTTTTATTCATGATTAAATTCTAGATATAGGAAATGAGGCATCATAAAGCAGAGGCTTTCATTAAACATTTTTAAATTTCTACTGCCATAATCTCAGATATAAAAAGAAAGTTATTCCATTTTTATTCTTCTGTTTGAGGAAAGGGAGGGCTCAGGTTTGGAGGGCCTTTCAAGTCACTTCGGCTTGTATTGATATCTTTGAAGAAATTTAAAGAAATGAAAGAGCCATTTTGAAAATGTGAGTTTAATGCAGAGATTGTTTTATGTGCCTGCCTGGCATTCTGTAATGTGGGCGCTGAACAATATATAGCTTCTGTTCTTTCTCTGAAAAGGTATTGGAGCCCCTCCCAGTCCTGGGGTGGCTAGGAGAGAGATGGAAGGTAACAAGACTCCTGCATTGTGGAAATGGTTCTCTCGCTTTATATCTAAATGTCAGCCCCTCCAGTGTTGAAAGCATAC